GCTGGCAGAAAGGGTGAACACCTGCACCTGGGCAGGTGTGTTGGCTGGACTTGAGAACAAGAAAGCAGAGGGGGGAAAGTTAGAGGAGTGTTCCTCCTCCTAGACTATGATAAGCCTCATGAAGCCCTCACTGGAGGGGTGGGGAGATACCCACACCACCAAAGGCAGGTTTTCCAAAAATGTACTCCAGGTAATACACCTACCAATGGATGCTCAGAGGTGTCACCAAAAGAGGATTCTTTTGTCCAACATGTTTAGAGCACATTGGGTTAAACACATTTCTTTACTGCAGGACTTCTCAGGGCCTTTAATATGCAAATATGCATTGTGAAGCTTCCCAGAGGAGGATATAGTATTCAGTGTTTCTTAAACTCTTTTTTGACTACAGCATCTCCTTTACTTTTTCATGGAGAATCTTACGAGACCAGTGTACAGTGGGATATGCTTTGGAAAACACTGGCTCTTAGGACTAAATGGTCTCCAACTCATACTGATGGCTGAAATGAAGGAACCCTCACATAGTCAAGAACTCAGAGGACATCTCCAGCAGCCCTTTGTTCCCTTAAAGACTTCTAGGTTGCTTAGAAAGGCCTCCAGATGTGCCCAGGGTTTGATGCCCATTCTTAGGTCCCAGTGGTCCTTTGAGAGGAAATCCTGGACACTTGAGCACCTGAACTATGTGCACTTGGCTTGAGCAGGACTAGAAGACACCACCCCTCCCACAGATATTTGAATCTTGCTTAAAAACATTTCCACTAAACCAAATGTGTAGAAGCAGCATGTGCTGTGCTGGCTGAGCTGGCGGAATTGGTCAGACAGGGTGTGGGTACTGCACCGACTCTGAGCGCAGGGCTCATGCCTACGAGCAGGGCCTGCAGAGCTGAGAAGGGGAGGGGCCAGGACGCCCAGCTGTGTCTGGAGAACAGCAGCCCTGATATTTACGACTATGATGGTCCTTCTCTAGTGGACCTGCTTTGGAACATAAATAAACTTAATAGGCTTCAAATAATTGTGACAACTGAGTTTAAACCCCAGACTGTGGTCCAGGGCAATGGACGTCTCTCTCTCTCCCCTCAGCGTGATTCTGTAGAGCCAGTGCTTACTTCTGAGCATAGCAGCACCATTGACTTGGTGGGTCTTCGGTAGTGAAGAGATGGTGAGTAAGGGTGGCTTTGAGAGTGAACCAAAAGAAGGAGGTCCATTCTTGCAGAAATTCCCAGGCTGAGAAGTGATACTGACCTCGTGCAGCCCCAGCCTGATGGGGCAGATGCTGGATCCCTCTCCTTCCCTGGGAGGAAGGGTGAGTCCATCCCCTGCCCCCTTCCCAGCCATTCTCAGAAGCTGTGGCTGACACATGTAGAATTATAAATTTGGTTCAAGACACTGGCATATTTTGAATGCTTTCTATGCATGAGACATCATACTATCTCGTGGGAAAGAAAGACACTCAGATGTAATATGCAGCAAACTGGGATAAAGGGCCGTAATATAAAGTCATAAAGAAAACGAAAGAGATAACAGATGAGGTTGGTTCCTGCCGAGCAGGGACGGGACTTTCCAGGAGAGGGAGAGACCTAACGAAAGCACGGAGATGGGGGGAGTACAAGCAACGTTCAGAGAATGGCCCAGGAGAGTGAGAGAGCCAGCAGGAAAACATGTTGGAGCCAGAACTCAGAGAATCTTTCCTTTCATACTAGGGATTTGGACTTTATCAAATAAGCACTAGAAAATCAGGTTTTATTTTAATGTTTTAAAGTAATACATGCCTAGAGTAGAATCTTCAAAAGATATAAACATATATTCAGTGAAAAGTAAGTCTCCCTGTCATCCCTGATTGCCAGTGACTCAGTTCCCTTTCCAGAAGGACTGCTATCACCAGTTTCTTGTGCATTCTTTCAGAGATATTCCATACCTTTGCAAACATATATGTGAATATATCTCCCCAATACTTCTTTTTTTCTTTTGAGGAAGATTGGCCCTGAGCTAACACCTACTGTCAATCCTCCTCTTTTTACTGAGGAAGATTAGCCCTGAGCTAACATCTGTGCCCATCTTCCTCTACTTTATATGTGGGATTCCTAACACAAAATGGCTTGATAAGTGGTGTGTAGACCTGCGCCCGGGATCCAAACTGGCGAACCCCATGCCACTGAAGTGGAGCACACAAACTTAACCGCTATGCCACCAGGCCGGGCCCCTCCCCAATACTTTTGAAAAGCGAATATTAGGGGCCGGCTCCGTGGCCGAGTGGTTAAGTTCGCACGCTCTGCTGCGGCGGCCCAGGGTTCGGATCCTGGGTGCGGACATGGCACTGCTCGTCAGGCCATGTTGAGGCGGCGTCCCACATCCCACAACTAGAAGGACCTGCAATTAAGATATACAACTGTGTACAGGGGGGGTTTGGGAAGATAAAGCAGAAAAAAAAAATTAAATTAAAAAAAAAGAAAAGAAAAGTGAATATTAACATATTGCATACACTGGCCTGCACTTTGCTCGTTCTACTTAACCCTAGATCTTGGACAATTTTAGGTAAAGGACATTGTGTTTCATAGTTTATTTAATGACTCGACTGGTGGATATTTGGTGTTTCCAGTATTTTGTTACTTCAAACAATGATGCAGCAAATATCTATCCTTGTATGTAAATCATTTTGTGCATGTATCTATAAATTCATAGACATGGAATTGCTTGGTCAAAGGACATTTGCTTTTTTTTTTTGGTGAGGAAGATTGACCCTGAGCTGAAATTTGTTGCCAATCTTCCTCTTTTTGCTTGAGGAAGATTGTCCCTGAGCTAACATCTGTGCCAGTCTTCCTCTATTTTTGTATGTGGGATGCTGCCACAGCATGGCTTGATGAGCCATATGTGGGTCTGCACCTGGGATCCAAACGTGTGAACTCTGGGCTGCTGAAGCAGAGTGCACAAATTTAACCACTATGCCACTAGGCCAGCCCCAGGACATTTGCATTTTTAATATTGATAGACTTCATATGAGAAAAGTTAATGGAGGTGATGCTGGGACCAGATCTATTTTAGGAAGATCATTTTGGAGGCAATAGGATAACGGGCAGGAGGAGAAGAGACAAGTTGGGAGGGTGTTATGAATACACCAGGTGAGATATGATGAGGGCCAGAACAGAGCACTGGCTGAGGAAAGAGAGGGAAGGGGATGGTGGAAGAGACACTAGTGACTGATTAGATGTGTCCATATGGGAAGGGAGAAATCAAAGACAGTCAGGGCCAGAGCCCCATATGCGGAGGGATTAACCAAGAGATAAAAGGAGTAGCTTTGCTCAGATTCTTAAAAACCAGGAATTTGTCTGCATAGATAGGAAAGTGGAAAGCTAAGAAATTAGCACATCAGGCCTGGTAGACTAGGAAGAAGGATGAGGCTCAAAAGAAGTTAGAGGGTCCTAACGTTCCCTGGGGAGGGTTGATCAGACCCCAGTGTAGTTCCAGACAAGGAAAGGGCCAAGAGCACCAACTTCGGAGTCTTTGAGTTTAGAAGCAGCTTCGGATTGTGTTATTCAACTTAGGCTTTCTGCTGGCACCAACCTTTGCCAAAGTTCAATGGTTTAACACAATAGAGGGTTTCTAGCTCACATGACTGCCCACTGCAGGAACGGCGAGGAGGAAGGGGCTCTGCTGAGAGCAGTCATCGGGACCTAGATTCTTCCATACTCAGATTCTATCTGCCTCTAGGTCTTCAGCATCCTCTCCAGTTAGCCACTGGATAGGAAAAAAGAGAATTGCGTATCGGCAGGTGTTATGGGCCAGAATCGGAAATGACTTCTATCATTTCCACTCACTTCCTATTGGTCAGAATTGAGTTACATGGCGGCACCCAACTGCAAGGAAGCCTGGAAATGGCATCGAGCTATGTGCCCAGGAGGAAAAGGGAAATGCTGATAAACAGCTAGCTGACCTTTACCCCCAAAACTGTGTGTCCTGGGTAAGTCATTTAATATCTTAGATGCTCAGTTTTCATATCTGTAAAATGGGAATACTCATCTCATAAGTAGGATTGTTATGAAGACTAAATGAACTGACATATCTCATCCACTTAGCCTGGCATGTGGAGATGAATAAACAATCACTGTAGTGAATATTTATACATATTCTTCGTGCTTGCTCTTTGGTTGGGATCCTATGAGAGCAATTGTGGTGGTTTTCCTGTCTTTCTCTGCCCACTCCAGGTCTACACAGACAGCGGAAGACTCAGTCTGTTTATGACTGACCTGGATCATTCTGGCCCCAAAGTAGATTTGTTTTCTTGAAATAAATCATCTGTTTTGGCTGACTCCACAGATCAAATTCAGATTATTTCCAAATCTCACTATGCCTGGTCCGTGTAGACCCAGCCTCAACGTCTGCCAGACAGCTCTGCTCCTAGCATGTGCAGCCTGCAGAGTGATTGTGTTCATTCTTTCATGTTATTCCCACACTTCAGAAGTCTGGAGGGAAGCTGAATGTTTGCTGTTCTGGGATCATTTGAAGCTGGGCATGCAAAGAGTTCCGAGTCACTTTTAAGTCTGCCCGTAGGAAATCTTTCTTGGCAACCAGACAACTAGAATTAGTTATTAAAGGCATGTCAAATGAATAAAGACACCTCTGTGAGGGAAACCGCAAGAGCAGTTACTTTTTCTAATATGAATAGGAGGCTAATATCAAATCACCTTTAATTTTCTACTCTTTCTGTGCAATTTCGAAGGTAGATCAAATCTAATAATACAGATACAACAGAAAACCATTTCTGTTTTCATCTATCACAATACATATGCCCTCTGCAGATGTGTGTCTTAAAAACCAGAGTCTGGAATTTAAACGAAGACCTGCACACTGACAAGGCTGTTTCCTCCAGGAACATTCTCCCAGATGCCAAGCCTGCTTTGCCCTCACAGGCTGTAAGAAGCCAACGCATGAAACGGAATAAAGCATGGTCTTGTCTATAAACCATGAATTCCATGAGCCCAGGCCACGGCATTTGCCAAAAGGCAAGGATGGCCATGAAGACCCAGCTGTAAGGAACAGGGGAGAAAGTGGTGTGAAGGTATTTTGAAAACATGGGCCTGCTCTCCAGATGAGAGTCATTGAAGGCCCATTGAACTCTCTTTTCCATGTGGCCTAGATTTAGGGTCACTATGGATAGATTAGCAGACAGGGGAGCTGGTGACCAGCAGGAAGTTCTGTGGTTAGGAGGATCCAGAGTTTGCCACACTCTCTGGGTTCAACCCCAGTGCTGCTATGTTTTGTTGTTATAATGGGCAAGTTATTCAATTTCTCAGGGCCTCAGTTTCCTCGTCTACAGAGTAGGGACAATAATACCTATCTCACATGTTTGTTGTGAGTATTAAATGAGCTAGTTCTTACAAAGCACTTAGAACAAATGTTTGGCAAAGAGGAAGCTCTCAGTGAGTGTTGACTGTTATCGCTAGTGTTATCAACAATATTATTATTACCCAATGGGGAAAAGGATCCATGAATGATTTTATGTGTGGGTGGGTCACATAAGCCTGAGCAATATGGACTTTATATGGAAGGGAATTTGGTTGGTTGAGAGAAACCAATCCAGCCCTTTAAGTTATAGCTACCTTGGAAGCTCTTCTGTTGGGTAGACGTGACTTGAGCCTTCACGGTCAAATGGTGCCGTTTCCCCACACAGACACCCTCCTGGGCAGATAAGTCCATCCTCTGGATGCCGAGGTTCTCATCTAGGATCAACAATACAGAAACCATTTAACTGATCAAGCTCCCTGCAAGCTCATAAAAAACAACCCCCCTCAGGTGGGTCCTGTGGGACAAGGCTCCTTTGAAAGCGTGCTTATATCATGTGTTTTGGGTGTCTAAGATATTTGGGTGGCTTTTCTTAAACTAACTTTTAAGGGCCGAGGGGTCATTTTGCAGCATTTGTCCCTGGATCTAGGTGCAGGCCACTAGTGTGACCTCTCTGCCCCTTGTCCTTACCTTCAGGTTAACCCCACCCTGGTCCCTGGTAGCCTCAGGCCAGGGCTTGGCTCTCAAACGTCCTTTCCATGACACTGAAGCTGGATCTTCAGCCAGTCTTGGATCTGTGCCATGTAGCTGCCCTAGGGTGACGGAAGTCCTTTCCTTGACCAAACTCTACTCAGGCTCCTCTGAACTCTCTTCTTAACTAGGCTCTGAATTTTGGGCTTCCATGTTCGTCCCAGCACTATCCAATTTTACCAAGAATCCTTCGAAGTCAGATTAGTCAGAACCCCCCACTCTTGATATCTGATCACCCTGGATGTCTGACCAGGCTCCTCATTCTCCACCGTCCACCAGTGACGTCTGATCACCCTGGCCTGCCTTCAAGAGGAGTCCTGTTAGGTCAGTATAGCCAGAATACCCCCTTAGCCCTGATTCTTCCTCTTAGTAGTCTCCATCCGCTGACCTCCACTCTGTTCCTTGGCTATAAACTCCTACTTTTCTTTGTTGTTCTCAGAGGTGAGCCGAACCTCTCTCACCTACTACAAAACCCCGTGGTAGCAGCCCCCTCTGAATGAAGTCTGCCTGACCGTCTTTAACTAGTGTCGTGAATGATTTGTCTGTAATAGGGGTTTCTGGGTTTGTTCTGGGAGACTGAGATTGGCTGATGTCACAGGACCCCAAATTACAGGTACCAGTCGTGGGACTGGCAGGAGACCTAGCACCTCTCTGGGGCAGTTAGTAAAGTGAGACTGGGGGAAGCAGGCAGAGAATTCAAGAGAACTCTTAGCCCTTTCTGCCCTTGTTATCTCCATGTTTCATATTTTTAGGTGCAATCACTGTTTAATTAACTGGCCCATCAACAACAGTGTGGCCTCAATTAGGTGCATGATTTTCTTGATCAGAACTTCGGAATGCAAATTAACCAAGAAAAAAGTCACTTTGTCTTTTTTTTTACTTGCTTATATTCCCTCTTTGTTTCAAAAGAGAGTCTAAGGTGGCTAATTTGTCTATATAGAACTGAAAAGGAAGATAGAAGTGGAAAACTTCACTCAGCTACTGAGATATGGCCATCTGTTTGAATGTTTGCCTTTGTGAATCAAGAAAAGCAATCTGTTGACTGGACTTTTCTTTTTCAACTAATGGTGGTTCTCTAGAAACACAGCCTAAGGCCTTTGACGAGGATGGAGCCTGTGTGTATGTGGGTGTGCACGTGCATATATTTTTGTGTGGAGAGTGGTGTGAGAGCACAGACTGGTGAAGGGGAAAATGAAAGAGCAGAAGCCTAGATGCCTGCTCTGTGCCAGCGGCTTTGTTTCATTTACTTCTCATAACAGACTGATGAGGCAGATATTATTATTACATATGAAGGAACTGAGGTTAAGAAAGGCAAGAGAGTTCACCCCACCTCCAGTACCACGTAAGAGAAAGAACTGTGACCCAAACCAGTCTGCCCGACTCTGAAGGCTGGGCTCTTTCCACTTGAGAGGGGAGGGAGAGGAGAGGGAGGAAGAGAGCTGACTGGGGGTGGGGGTGGGAGTACTAAGGAGGGAAAGAGAGAAGACACCCCAGGGACAGGGTCTAAAAATTCTGGAAAGCTACAGAATGGAGTCTGAGCTAACTAACTCTTCCCCTGGCACCCCTACCTCTTGGACACCTTAAAGTCTGCAAATCTGCCCTCTCCCATCCCTGCCGGTCTTCTCTCCCTTCCTCTTCTTGCCTGATGGTGGCCTGACCTGCCAAGATGACTGTCTGGAATCTGGATCTCCTGCATCTGAAACTGGGCTCCCACGGTGTTGGTGGCGAGCTCAGGACCCTGTTTAGTGGCCACTGCCAGGGCAGGGGGCAAGTCCCCCAGTCCTTGTCCTGAGCTGGGTCACCTGTGAGAGGGTGCCCAGGGCACAGGGGTGGAGCAGGGCTCGAGGGGCTGCTCTGCCTGGGGCTGAATGCTCCCAGCAGTTCTGCCACAGCCCCCCCGCACCCATCTGCCCCCTTTCCTGTGCATCCTCGCGCAGCGCAGCACAGAGTCTTGGTGGCAGGCATTTCGTTCTCCTTCACCAGTCACCAGGGCTTGGTGAGAGTCATCCAGATGTAGCTGTGACAATGCGGCTTTCATCTTCCTCAGAGGGGACCCTATGGGAGGGGGGACCCTATGGGAGGGAAGCCCCCTCGCCCCCCACTAGCCCACAACCCTCTTCTCAGGGTGGCACACTGTCACCCAGGAGGGAAGCTTCCTCCTGATGCCACTTCCCTGGCCTGGGAGCCTTTGCAGAACCTCCCCGCCCCAGTGCTCCCGAGCAAAGAGCCAAGCCAGGGTAAGGCTGTGCATATAGGGCCTCAATTTCAGATCAGATTCACAAATTTAATTTCCTATTCCTTAATTTAATTCTGCATTTTAGTTTTGTTTTTATTATTTACATGGGTTCCCTTTAATGATTCCAAATTGCTGCTGCCCTCTAGCAGGATTTTGTCTTAGGTTAACTTCTTGAAAACCGATCAGCGTTGGAGTTTATTCCGCACTGGGTTTAGTTATTTTCTGAAACGAAGCACAATTAAATTAGAATAATGAACATGCTCTTTAGAGGATTAATTCATAATAAGCAGGCCATGTGCTACAGCTCACAGAAGAAAGGGCTTGAGGACCAAAAGCTGTTTTTTCTGCCTAAATACGAAAAGTACATTCTGCAGAGCAGAACAAATCAGCTAATGACATCCAGAGCGCTGGCCAGCCCCAGAGCGGCACGGAGCTGGCATCTCGAGTTAGCGCAATCCTCACCGATGCTGCTGCCTACCTTCCCTCCCTGAGAGGGCTGGCAGCCCGTGATTTGCCTGGCTCCTTTCTCCTCAGCACAGCTGACAGAGGACATGCTGGGCCTTCTGAGTTCTAGCCCAGGAAGCCCCAACCTCCCACAGCCTGTAGCTTCACGAGCTTCACCCTCAGAGCTTCCCAGAGCCCATTCATTCATTCATTCTTTCATTCTTTCATCCAAGGAATGTTTAACTGAGCTCCTGTTATGTACCAGGCATCCATGGATACACCCTTGGGATCCATGAGTGAAGAAAACACACAGAGACTTCTTGCCCTTCTGGAGGTTACATTCTAGCATGCAGAGACAGACAATAAACAGTAGAAATAAGAAGAAAATGATGTGGTGTGTTAGAAGGTGATGAGTGCTAAGGGGTAAGTGGGGCTGAGAGGGCTGTGTGGGTGGTTTGCCATCTTAAATATGATGGGTCAGGGTAGGCTCATGGAGAAGGTGTCAACTGAGCCAAGACTTGAAAGAGATGAGAAAGTGGGCCACTTTCAGGAGTGCCCCAGGGGTCAAGAGTATTCCAGAGGAAACAACTGGAAATAACACAGGGCAAAGCCCTAAGGTAGGAGTGTGGCTGGCGAGTGGAGGAAGGACAAGGCCAATGGGGTCTGAAAGGAGGGAGTGGGAGGTGAGTGGGACCAGATCCTCCGGGGCTTTGGCTTCTGCTCCGAGTGAATGGGGAGTCATGGCAGCGTTTGAGCAGAAGTGGGACATGATCTGATTTACACAAAAGGCTCTCGGGCTGCTGGCTGAGGATAGACTTTCTGGGGCGGGGTGGGGTAGCTGGAAGCTGGGAGACCTGTCAGGAGGCTAACAGGCGTCTAAAACTCTAGCCCCAGTTTCTTCCATACCATGTTCTCCGGACTCCCCAAAGTACTGAGAGCAGGTCTCACAGCCAGGCCTGGAGGCTAAGAGGCCCCTGTAGGGCCCTGCCTCCCAGAATAGTGGTTTGCAAGCAGTTGTGAGGCATGCCCAGAAGCATTATTCCTTGCTTTGCCCAGCAGACCCTTCTACAGCCCCTTCTCAATCCTCCCACTGACCCATGGACCAGAAGGACGGAACCTGCAATGGAAGGAGCCTTTCAGGCAGGGGCCAGCTCTGCACTGTCCCTTTGGTTGTCTCAGGCTCCTCTGAGAGGGAGATACCCTCTGAACCAGGTAACTGACAAAGTGATGTCAGAGGGCCTCTGCTGTGCAGCTGCCACAGAAACAGGGGACAGATCAAAGCAGGAGAGGACCAACATCTGTGGCAACCAGAGCAAGGAAGAGGTCCAAACAAACGGAATGAATAAATAAGCAGATGAATGATTGATGCGTGGGGGGATGAATGATTAATGAATAAATGAATGATTGATGAATAAACAAGTGCACAGCCCAGAGCCAGCTCCACCTCTCTGCTCTTTTCTTCCTTTCTCTCCTGGGAACCAAGGAGTAAAGATCCTCCCATGGCCCTCGCCTCTAGAATTCCCTGCTAGAATTGGGATCGCACTGTTTCTGATCCCAGAGGGGGCTTTGGCTCAGGAGCAGGGGCCTGTGGCTGCAGGGATGGAATGGAGGAAGGAGGGCAGAGAAATTGGAACTGGGTGGAGGATACCTGGGGTGGCCTGTAGGTTCTCAGGGAGGAGAGCTCTGAGGCTCTCAGAGGAGGGGAGGATGTGGAGGAAGAGGGTGTTTTAAAATGTAGGTTTTATTATTTTTCAGGTACGGTGAGGCCAACAGATCAGGAGATGATTGCCATTTAAAAGATGGTTTGTTATAGATCCCAAGAGAAGGGGGCATGCCACACCATGGAGGTGGCTCCATGGGGAAGCACCACAGTTGGTTAGGAGGCAGAGGGAGCGAGGGGAAATGTGGGCAAGAGCCTTTATTGTGGTTTCCACAGGAAGGAACGGCAGGCAGGGTAAGCAGCTTTAGGATTGGCCAGTTTGAATAATTTCACTGGGTTCTGGAGCATAGGGGCTGTTCCTAGTGGTCCAGTCCCGGGCCCTGGGGGGATTAGGGTAGGGGATATTGGTTTGGAGCGTAAGAGCTCAGTAAAGAAGGTGGTTGGGGGTATGGACTCTGGATTGGTTGGTTTGCACATGAAAGGCTACTGGCAGGTGAGTCTTTTACTATCTCTAGGAATTGGCTAACCCTGGGAGGGGCAGTCCCGCCAGTGTCCGCAAGGCCAATGTCAAAGCATTAAAAATAGAGAAAATAAAATACATGTTTACTTCAGAAGGAAACAGTAGAGATTTGGGTTTTCCTTTTCTTAGTCTCACGCTAGACATTCTACAGACGCTGAGCCTTGAATTAGTCTCATTTTAGGGCCTGTTAGGATAAAGAAGTCCATTTCAACTGAGTGTGTGACTCTGTCATCCCAACAGGCAGGACCATTCTGGTGACTGAAATTTTCAGATACTTCTCTCCAAGAGGCAGGCTGGCGATAACTCCAGCTCACGCCCAGGCACCTCCTCCACTACACTGGCACCCCTCCAGACACCTCTCAGAAGAGTATGTGTGTATGTTCCACTTTATTTTCTGACCTTTAATAGATAATCATAATAAAAATGGCTCCTATTTATTGAAAGCTTTACTAAGGGCTAAATGTGGGGCTATGAGCTTTGCGCTCTTTATGTCATTTAATTCTCTCGTCAACCCCAGGATGTAGGTATTTTTACCCTCATTTTACAGAGGAAACTAAGGCTCAGTGAGGCTGAGTAACTTGCTGGTAAGTAGTGGAGCCAGAACTGTGCTCAGATGGTCGTGGCCATTTGGAGCTGAAAACTGAAGGGACTTTTCCTGCAGCCTTCTTCTAACAATGCTGCTGATCTTTCACTCTTCTGATCTAGTCGTTCTTAACCCCTTGGGGGCTGCAGAGCCCTCTAGGCACAGGATTAGTGTAGAGCCTCTTCCTTGAAAATGCACATTTTGCATTTTGCACAAGTACATTTCCCAGTCAATTTCAGGGTCCACAGATCCCCTGAACTCACGAAAACCTGTTTTGGGCATTCACTTTCTGCAGCGACTGTTTTTCTTTCTCATAACCCTAGGGCACAGGGCAACCCTCAGGGCCCCAAAATCACCCCAGTAGGGAGTGGAATCAGATGGGACACGTTAATCAATGAAAGCTCACTGCATGCTCCTTCCATAATTGCATTCCTGCCTTTTCATCCTAACAGCCAGCACTTAGGGTAATTGCATTCCAATAAGGCTCCCAGGTCTGGGGCCTCTGGGGCCTGCCCTGGAACCTGTTGACACACCATCTGCTTCCAGAGGAGTTCTGGAGACCAAGACAGCCTTTTAAAATTCTTCTGTGTTGTCTTTGCTACAAGAGAGACGAAGGACTCTGTAACGGATCTTGTCCAAAATCCCACTTTCTTAACCCACTCACATCATCCCCAGAGCCAAGAAGTCTTCCTCCCGCCCAAGCTGTCTTTCCAAAGTCAAAACAGCAGCACCTGTTATTCCAAGTGGATGACCTTTGGAGACACCTGGCACCTGAGCAGGGTGGCCACCACCAGCCCAGCTGGGCAGCACTGGCTCAGGACTAAAGAACTGAAGGGCTTGAGGGCTCCCTCAGGAGCTGGGTGTTGTGCTGCCACAAACACCCTCAGAGTCACTCACTGATTCATAAGATTTATTGGAACCTCCCTAAAGGGCTCCTTCTCTTCGCAAAGAAAACCCACGATACAACGAAGTAGGGAACCCCCCAAGAAACAGGGAAGTTTCATGAATCCAGAGAGTCTTATTTCTAGAAACATAACTTCCTCTAAAGAAAATTCATGTGTTCTCCAGGCACGTAGAGGTCCATACAATTAACAGAAAAAGTGCAGGGTTCAAAGTGATTTGAGTTTCATTGTTTCCCAAATAGAGATGGCTCTTCTGCTTGCCCCCACCAAAGGAATGAGGTATAAAATGGAGAGGTCTGGTGTTTGTTATATGACTTACAGATGCCCCTTCCCCCATCACAACCCTCGAAGCTTCTTTCCTGTGGAGAAAACTCTCCTCTGGGGCTCTTCTTCCTCTCGGGTTTGAGCCCCAAGAAGCCCCCTACAAGCCCAGCTCCCTGGTGCTGCATGCTGAGGGCTGAGAGCTGATTCCCTCATTCCTGTTGAGACCTTCCTGCTCTCGCCCAGAGGAAATGGATTGTTTCAGGATGGAACTGTTCTTGCTGCAGGAGGAAGGGGAGAGGTGATGAGTATTTTTGGGTGGTTAATCCCCCCTCCAACATTATAATCCTTGTGGCTGATCTGTGGTTTAGCAGAAAGAGCATCGACTTTTCAGTGTCGTGGGCCAGTGTTTGAATCCTGGCTCTGCCAATCGAGCTGTGTGACATTGAGCAAGTCACTTCACCACCCTGCATCTCAGTTTTCTCCCTGCTGGTGGCGGAGAGGGAATCAGATTTACCTTACAAGGTTGAAATTGAAGAGACAATGTGCCACGGTGCTGGCCTTTGATACTTGATTGCCTTTGCTTCCTTCCCTACATGAAGGCGCAAACTTCTAGAGCATTTTGCAGATGTTAGAAGGTACTCTCGTTGGGTTCAGTGCTATCAGTGCTCTTGGGCTGGCCCTTCTCCCCAGCCTTGCCCCCTCCCCCATTCCATTCTTCCTTTATCCTAATCTCTCCGTCTACCTGTAGCAGATAGCCTAACCTCCAAACCATTGCTTCGGGCTTTCCCCAGAGAACCTGATGCTCACTAACTAGGTTGGTGTCCCTCCTGTGGTTCACAGCAGTGGCCAGTGCAGCCTCACAAACGGGGTCACCCGTGGACGGGTCAATTGGCCCACCCCTGCCTCTTCTAGTTTAACACAAGGGTCCTTACATCCAAGTCTGTTAGGGCTGCCATGCTCTTTTTGATGGGTGGTAAGACTGCAGACTTTTCACTGTGTGGGGTGGATCCTAAATGGGCATCAGCCTCCTGGGGATGAGCAGGAACCAGTGGGACTCCTCCTGTTGAGGGCCATGCCCACTCCCTCACTTCACTGTTACCACCGCCCTTGCCAGTGTCACCGCCCTCCTGCTCACCCTTGTCGTCGGCACCCAGCACCCAAGTCAGGACTCTCTGTGCCTCAGGAAACTAACACCCGAAGACACAGTGACCAGACTCTCAAAGAGGACCCCAGACCTACCATTTTGGGGGGATGTTTTTCATGCTTACTGGTTAAGTAAACGGAATCTTGAAATTCCCAAATCAGTTCGGGGGTGGGGTGGGGTGGGGGTGGGGAGAGAAGGGGTCAAAACAAGCCAGAGGAGATTAGGGATTTAATTAAACTGCCTGTTTGGCTAAGAGCTTTTACGTGCAAAGCTGCTTTGCATGATAATGGCAGTTTATCTGAACGAAGGAAGTTCTTTTACACTTAATTACTGTAGCCAGGCCAGAAAGCCTGGCTTCTCCTTAATTCTCCTCCCCAGGGTGGGTGGGGCAGCTTCCCTCTCAGCTTCAGCGTGCTGGCCTCTGCCAGGGACAGACCCTTAGTCATCTGTCCCAGTACGAGGCCTGTCCACTCACCAGGTGATACCTAGGTGAGTAGAGGGCCTTCGGAATGACTCAGCAAAGTCAGGTCTGGTTCGGGGTTGACCCCTGAAGGCCCCTGTAGGGCTCCCCAGCTGGCCAGGGCAGCAGAACCCCCAAACACCAAACAGGACCGACGTTCACCTGGTAGGCTCCTGCTGCTGAACAGCAGCCCTGGACTGGCAGAGGTTTGGTGGCTGTGTGTGCTGGGTCAGGGCGGGTCTGGACCAAAGGGAGACTCTCTGGCTGACTTGTGAGGCCGGCCTGAAGGTGGAAGGGCTGCATTTTAGCGTTCGGTGGTGGTAGTAACTGTTTTCCAGGTAGAAGAATAGCATTCAATGACTGGACAGGATAAAGGGAGAGGAAGATGGAGAGGTTGGTGGCGGGAGTCAGACAGCCCTGCTACAGATAACAGGAAGCCACAGGGAGATGGATAGAGACTCCAGACACAGGGGCAGGCTAGGGAAGGGTTAAAGGGCTTGGGAACTCCTGTTTCCAATCACTTGTCAGCCCGCTTGCTCTCATCCTTATCAGCAGGGATAGGGCTGCGCGGGAGAGGCTCCGACAGCTTTAGTTTCCAAGCTCTTCCCCAACTCCAAGCTCTCAGCATTCTCATTACCTTCTAAGGGCTCCCCGGCTCAGTCTAGGGGGAGGGTGGCGGGTAGGGGCTGGGAACCCAAACACATTTAATGGAGTGGAGTGTGAGTTACTAAATACAGCCCGGGGGTGGCTGGGGGCTGTAGAATCTCAGAGTAAACCTTCAGTCAAACTGCCCCTCCTCCACTCCCCCA